GGGGGGGGGGGGGGGGGGGGGGGGGGGGGGGGGGGGGGGGGGAAGAACGGTACGTCGTAAGCACTCGAGTTGGCAAAGACGGCACGACAAGCAGGCTTGTGGCGGCGTAAGCTAGAAAGAACACGTGGTCAGCCACGAGATCCAGGAGACCATAACCTCCAGCTGAACCAGATCAAATGTAAAGAACTGAACCAGACCAATATTAGAGCTGAACCAGACCAAATATAAGAGCGTTTCGAAGACCGAAACACCAGAAGGGAAGGTGCAAGTCGCGAGGAAAAGCAAAAAAAAGTCGGCGATTCTTACTTCCTCAACGCCCCCTCCCCCCTCGGACGCTGCACTCCTTACACTTGGCCACGGTAGCTTTTGACTTTGAGACGCCTTGCGCAGAACCCAATGGAGGATTAACTATTCCTTCCGTTTTCTTCGCTTGTTGTCCTGCCTCTCTCGCACCACGCGGGGTAGACAATCACCGACAACGAGTCTTCGGATAATACCTGATGTCGCTCCTTTACTTCTCGTCTTCTCACCGAGAATGTTCCCCGCCTGCCGAACGAGCTCCTGTACTTGTCCCGAACAGCGGTAACGAAGGATACGCTCTGGACCTGCCGCATACTCCGCCAGTGTGCCTGCAGGGCTAGCTGTTGTTGCCGTCGTTGCCGTTTGTCACGATGGTGACGGCGTTTGTCGTTGTCGTTAACCGTTTATTGTCGGCGTTAACACAGATGTCAGTGTAGTCGTCATTGGACATGGTAGTGGCCATGGTTCCATGTGTCGTCGTCGTCGTCGTCGTCGTTTTGTTCGTGCGTGGACCATTTCACGCCCGCAACGCGCATGTAGTAACCACGCGGCCGAAAAGGCGGAAGAGGAGGCGCGCAACGGACGAGCGCGAAGAATGATGAGCAAAACACGAGAAAGATGGGGAAACCGAACGCGGGGAGACACAGCTCTACAGGCGAGAAGGGCCCTCCTCAGGCTGCTCCAAAGATCAGAGAGCCGAGTTGGGTGGGTGAAGAAGGACCCTAAACGAGGAGTACAGAAACGGAGAAAGGTGCAAGCGACTTCACCAACGACAATAACTTCAACAGCGATCACGACGGAAAAACAACAGAGATTTGCGCAACAATCACGCCGGCACCGACAGAGAGCAACCCAGAGACAAACGTCTCATCATGCGGCAACGGCTATCGACCTTGCCTGCTGCTGAAGTGGGGTGGTTGCAATACCCCCCCCCGCCCGTCCTGTCGCCGCGTCTACAAGCAGCAGAAATGCCATTAGGCAAATCCATGTTGCGTGAAGACGCACAAGCACGAAAATGGGTGAGGCACCCAGTGGGAAAGCCAATGGTGTGACCAGCTCCCGAAATATCAACGCGCCCGAAGGAAAAAGACGGAGGAAGACGCGAGCGCGGGCGGGCGGACAACGACGGACATGGGCACAGAACAATAAAACTGCGGACTGTCTTGCTTGCCTGTCGCCTCGACGCCGGAGGGGGGGCTGCCCACGGAACGGCCCCCTCGCATTGACAAATGGCGTTCTTCTCGTCTGTGGTCCACAGGACCGGCTGCGCGGAGGCCGAGATCGTTCCGAACTCCGCGTCGATGCTGTTTCGTCGTCGTGTGGGTGTGAGAGTGTGCGTAAGTCAGCACCGACCGCGCTAACCGGCTGACCGATGAGAATAAAACATATTTGAATGACTGTGTGTGTTCTCCACGTTCGACAGGAAAATTTTCGCCAGCGACAAGATTAGGGTGAACGATGAGGGTAACGGGAAGGGAAGGGACGAAATGCGCGCAACAACAACAACAACAGTACCGACGAGGACGACCATGACGATGGAAATAAAGAAAACAGTATGGGGGAGCGGGTTGTCCAAGGGGCATGCAATGCGCCGTTCAGGTAGGGGGTCAGTGTGATGCCCTAGCCCATGAGAAGTTGACAGGGCTTCGAAAGAAAGAGACATGCTTCTCCAACCGAGAGCGAGTGAACACCGGCTGACAGCAAGAGCCGTCGTCTTACGCTACCCATATCAACACACAAACTCCTCATGCTAGATGTAGGCACAACTCGGTCCAGGGGGGGGGGTGTACTCAATAGTCGTGCATGCCGTAGTCGTTAGACCATTGACCTCGCATCCCTACAAAGCAGGGACGGAGTACGCCGGGTTCTCACCGGACCAGGCTCACATCACCAAGCGCGAAGCGCCGTGAGAATTCGGCGAGTCGCATGAAGGGTGCGCTGCATCCTGCTAAGGGTTTTCGGCATCTTGTGCTTACTTCCTTGCGTACGGATGACAGCTGTGTATGACTGAATTTATTTTCTGGTGCGTCTACTTCCAGAGGCAGTTTTAAGCACTGTGTGACTGTCTCGAGGGTGTTTGACCATATCAACGCAACGTGGTGCAATCATCCCCCTTGCGCGGAGTGCGGGTTCTCGACCCCGCACAACATGATCTACTCGACCGCCATCATGGTTACCGCCAAAAAAAAACGGAGGTAAAAAAAAAACCGGTAACCTGGTTGCCGAGTTCACGACGTGAATTGGCTTGTTTTACAACGTCGTTGCCAAGCGACGAAAACCCAATCCCGATGGCAANTCGTTGCCAAGCGACAAAAACCCAATCCCGATGGCAAACACCGGGGGGCGGCGGCTTGTTTTACAACGTCGTTGCGAAGCGACGAAAACCCAACCCCGTTGGCAAACACAGGGGGGGGCGGCTCGGTCCAGGGGGGCGTACTCTTATGTTTTGCATGTCTTAGCGGTTAGACCATTGACCACGCGTCCTCGAGAGGACGGAGCATTGTTCCCACAGGACCGATCACCGATGGCCAATCGTTCCTTTCTACTTTGCCAAAGGTGGCTCAAAAATGTCTTCCCTAGTCTGTCTATCCTAACGATATCCCTTCCCGCCTTTTCAACCCACCTCCTATGCCCCACTACAGCTACCGTCCTTTCCTCTCTATTCCATGCCTCAAACATCTCCCTGTACGTTCCATCTATTTTTCCCAGCTCAGTCACGTACACTTCCCTCTCCTTCTAGTACAACGGACATTCCGCGACTACATGAACACGGTCTTCGCATTCGAAGCCGCAATCACATTTGAACTCGTCGTCTTCCTCGTCTACCGTCCTATGTCTTCGTCGACGTTCTCGAAGGCCTATGTCCCCGGTCCTGAATTTGACCTTAAGCTTTGTTCCTGCATCCATTGGTCCATGTAGGTAGTCCTTGAACCCTATTCCTTCCTTCAACATTCCGTACACTTCTAGACCCTCCTTATCCTTGGATTCTTTCCTCAGATTCTGTTCTTCTCTCTCGGCACAAGCAACAGATATCTTCTCCTTGAACCCCTGTAGACCCTCCGTTTCCAGCGTTTCATCTTCGTCGATGTCGAGCCCCTTCCATACGTCCTCTACAACCTTGACCCATTCCGTGGGTTGTCTACCCCTCTTTTTGTTTGCCCACTTCGCCTCCCATACAATTCTCGGCAACCTCTCCTCTCCCATCCCGCACATGCGATACTGCCAGGTCAGCTTCCTCGCGTCTCTTCCCGACCGTAGGGATTGGATCCCCAATTCTGCCCTCACGGCTGCATTACTTGTGCGCCTGGAGCATCCTAGGATGGTTTTCGCTGCTTTCATCTGCGCCGCCTCGAGTTCTTTCACTACCTTCTTATTTCCTTCCCATACTTCTCCGGCGTACTCTAGCGGCGGTACGATTACGCTCTTCAAAACCGTCAATTTGATGCGTGTATCGAGGTGCCGGTTTGCGAGTATTGGGTGCAGCTTCCCTGCTCGTGCTTTGCCCTTTTCCGCTACCTTGGACATGTGTGCATTCCACGAGCAGTCTTTTGCGATCTCTACTCCGAGGTATGTGTACTGGTCCACTACTGCAATCTCCTCGATCCCCCACTTCCATCTATGTTCTACTGGTTCCTCCTTGTTCTCGTTGCATACCATGACGGCACTCTTCTGAACGTTGGCAGACAATCTCCACTTATCAGTAAACTTCTTCGCCGCGTCAATTTGCAGTTGCAGTCCCTCAGGGGTGTCCGACATACCGACAAAATCATCCGCAAACAGCATTCCTGAAACCGACGTTTCCGTGTCCCCTACTTTTACTCCCTTCCGGACTGCCTCTACGACTTCCAACAGATCGTTGATGAACACCTGGAACAATGTTGGGGACAGCGTGCAACCTTGTGGGACCCCCTGCTCAATGTCGAAGAATTTTGACAGTTCTCCGTCTAGCATGACCGCGCTTTTCGTACACTCTGTCATCTTCTTCAGCACTCTCCACATTTTCCCCTTGATCCCGTATTTGGACAGTTGTTTCCACAACCCATTTCTCCACACGGTGTCGTATGCCTTTTTCACGTCCAGGAAGAAGCAGTACGTCGGCTTTCCCGCCCTCTTTCTACCTTGGATGATTCTCCCTACCGTGAACACGTGGTCTACGCACCCCCTCTTCTTGCGGAAACCTGCCTGGCCCTCACTAATGCTATGTTCCTTCTCCAATACTCCCACTATCCTATCGTTCAGCAGCTTACAGAACACTTTTCCTACTGTGTTCAACAGTGTGATCCCCCTGTAGTTTCCTGGGTCAGTCTTGTCTCCTTTCTTAAACAAGTTCACAACCACTCCTTCCCTCCATCTACTTGGCGTATACTCGTTTTTCCACACCCAATTGTATAGCAGTACCATCAGCTGGATCATCCCCTTCCCCCCAAACTTCATGAACTCGTTGACTATCCCATCCGCTCCTGCTGCTTTGTGGCACTTCAGCTTGTTCACACACGCCTCAACCTCGTCCTCAGTGAACTCCTTTTCTAGTTCTACGTTCCCAACGTCTGCCTTCGATGTCTCTTCTTCTTTTTGGGCCCATGCGTCCACCTCCTTCTTAAACGCTTGGTCAAAAGCTTCATTCTCCGAGGGCACTCCAAGTCTCTTGTAGTGTCCTGCTAGAACTTCCCTTTTTCCCTTCCCACTGCTGACTAATCCACCGTTCACACCTCGCAAAGTTGCGACCCCTGTATCCCCCCCTTGCGCGGTCTTTTTTACCATTCCACTAATCCCTTCCCACATCTGCTTGACGTTTCCCTCCAGGCCTCCGTTGGCCTTCTGCACTACTTCGTCCCAAATACACTTTTTCTTCTTTTTCACTAGTCCCTTCACCTGTTTTCTCTTGGCCCTGTACTTTTCCCAACTCTCCTCAGACGCCTCACTCAGGTACTGCTTGAAGACTTCTCTACGTTCCCCTATTTCTTCTTTCAGCTCGTCATCCCACCACTTAACCGATACCCCACATCGTACCACCTTCCTTCCCACTACTCTCTCTGCCGTTGCGTTCACGATGGACTCCCACCCTTCAATCACCCTGTCCCCTGCTGCCTGTACGTCTACCTGTCCGTCTTCGACGCTTCTCAGCAGTTTCCTGAAGGATTCTACACTACCAGCCAGCCCCTTCTGGAATTCATCCCGTGTCCCATCGTCTCCCAAACGCTCTACCTTCCACCGGAACACTTTCCTCTGTTTCTTACTCTTGATCTTTCTAGATCGGTCGATGTTTGCCCATATGAGGAAGTGGTCGGTCGAACCTATATCTATCGCACTTACGTGCAGCTCTGGGATCTGCGTGCTCCCCCTATCTACCAGGATGTAGTCGAGGATTGAGTATTCATTGCAAACTGCCCGTTGCCTTGTGAACTCCGGCTTATCGCATTCCCTCCTACCGTTCAACACCATCAGTTCGTTGCTTCCCAAGAATTCAAGCATCCTCACTCCGTTGTCATTCACTTTGTCTTCTCCGTGCTGCCCGATCGCCTGTCCTCTACTGGAAGCTTTCCCTACTCTGGAGTTGAAATCGCCCACCATGACAACTTCTCCCTTCCTACTGAACCTCTGGACATCTTCCCCAATTTGTCCAAAGTTCTCCTGCGCCTTGCTTGCGACTTTCTTCGACGACGGTGGGACGTATACGTTCCCTAGAAACAAATCTTTCTCACCCCGCTCCCCAGGTATCTTAAGCCATAGGCTTTCCTCGAACTCCGTTTTCACCACTACTTCCACCACGTCAAACAAGTGTTCCTTGACCAGGAATCCGACTCCCCCCTCCCCCCTTTTCTTCGGGTCTAAGCCCTTTCTTGCCTTCCCTACCCACCGGTATTTCCCTAGTTTGCTTACCACGTCCCCATCCTTCAATTCCCACGTCTCTTGGATCCCCACTACATCTAGATCGCTTTGTTCTACTTGGTCCACTATTTCCAACCGCTTGCGCTCACTCCTTGCGAACCCGCACACGTTCCACGACCCGACTCTCAGCTTGCGCTTTTCCCTATTGGAGATTTTGCGCACACCATCGTTCGCCTTCCGCTTCTTCTCGGACTTCTTCTGACTTGCTTGCTCGACTGCCCTGCTCGGTCCTTTCTTCGCCTCCGTCGCCCTCGCCTCTTGTCTCCTTACCTTCTCTGTTTCTATCATGTTCGCGATGCAAACCCTCCATCCAAACTTCCTTACGTAGTTCGACAGCTTCTCGATATCAACCCCCAAGCACTCTTGGCTGTCTCCCTTGGTCAATTTCACCCGGAAGTGTTCATGTTCTCTGCCTACTTGTCCCCTTGCTAGGCAGTGCAGTCCCTCCCTGTCACAACAGTTCTTGAACTCTATCCTCGTCATGTCCCTTGGAATCCCAAACAGCAGCAGCTCCAACTTGTCTCCCTTCCACAGTTTCTGCTTCCATCCTCCAAGCTTCTTCACCATCCTCATGATCTCTACGGCAACTGGACCGTGGCCACTTGTTTTTCGTGTTTTTTCAGGAAGGTATACGGAATACTCGGCCTTCCCAATCCGAGTGTCCGGCGGGGGTTGTGGTTCCTTTCAGTTCTTTTGCCGGCTCACCGACGCTAAATAGCGCCTCCAACATAGGCTCGTAGTCTAGATCCAAGTTCACACCTCCTGACACAAGTACCCCAGTCTTGTGCCGGGCGCTCTGCTTAGTTAACACCCAGACGTCCCCCGACCACCCAATTTATCATCTCCGAAGTCCCGCGGTACAGGCTACTTTCCTCCTGGGAGGTCATTTTCACCACAATAAGTTCAGGGACGACTTGCATAGCCTAAGATCCTACTCACACGCCGGGATGGGGCGTACACCAACGTCCAGCTTCTCATGTACGCTCCACCATGGGTTGCTACCCCACTTACGCTCCCGAGTAGACCTATCTGCCGAACGTTTGGCCAACAATTCCTTACTGCTTTATACTCGCCTCTCTCCAATCCAAGACAATGCATTGTGCGTGCTGCACATCTAGCTCCGCAGTTTTTGCGTGGTTGGTCCGGTCGTTCAGCTTGCTCGACGTGAGTAATAAGCTTTGCTTTGATGGCTCTATGTTTTATCGATCCACTTCAAGCAACGGTCCAGGGGGGGTGGCATTATTAACTTCACACGCGGTGAGCTGTGGAAAAACAACAAATTGCTCACCTCAAGTACTGCCCGTGGTACGTTCGCAGGGCAAACCGATCCCTCGTCTTGGACACCCCTCGGCCGTCGCTGCCGCGGCCGCCGGGAATTTGAGATACACCACCACGTTTCCAGCTGGTGGCCGCCCCGGAAGAAGACAGCTGCGGCACAGAAGTTCCTGTCCGTTGGTCCCCCTCAAACCCTTCTGCTCTACTCTCAACGCCAGAGCCTTGCTCTCCTCCTTCTCTAAATCCCTCTCGCCCAAGGGAAGCCCCCACGCCACTGCTATCGCCACGCCCGCTTTCACATGTCGATGATGCCGTCGACGATGCCCCCTCGTTGTTGACTCCAGGTGGGTCATGTCCATCATAAGGGGCGGCGGGCACGTCGGCGAACCTCTCCAGCTTGAACTGCTCCCACGAGTTGTCCCACGGCCGGTCGGCCACCACCTTGCCGTCGGGCTCCACGCAAAGGTACTTCCCGTAAGCGCTCTCGAAGCAAACGATCCCGCGGACCTCGTGCACCATCAGCGTCCACAGGTGGTCCGTGCCCCTCCCTCGCCGACCCTTGCTCTTACCTCCTCCTCGAATGCTGTCACTTTCGTCCTTTTGACCTCGACGCCCGCCGCTTCCGCTCTCGCTTCCCACACCGCTGCCGCCCCTTATCCCGGCCACTGCTGCAGCAGCCCCTCCCCCCCCCTTGTATCTGCTTCCTTGTCCTTGCGAGACGCCCCCGCCCCCGCCCACTGCGTCGCCACCTCCACCTGCACCGCACCCAATTGCGGCCGCTCCTCCCCCCCCCGGAGCGTTGGTGCTCAAGCCACCACTACCGCCGCTACTGCTACCGCCGCTTTCCATTCCCCCCTCGCCGGCGCTCCATTCTTCGACGGCGCCGCCAGCAACGGTTGGTGTTGCTGCGGTGGCTGCCAAACCTTTCTCAACGGGTGCAGCACAACCGCCACCGCCACCGCAGGAGCCCCAACCTGTGGCGGCTTCTCCTGCCGCTGATCCCGCTCCTCCGCCCGCCGCCGCCGCCGCCAACGCACCAGAACCAGACTCAACCCCGCTACCAGAACAGCTCCAACCATGCCCCATGCAACAATCCCCCGCATTCTCACCATCTTTTTTTGTGCCACCATCAGCGGCGTGGGCGGCGGCGGTCGTGGTGGTGCTGGTGGTGGCGGAGGCGTTGTCAAGCGCCCCAGGAGAGACGACGTCCCCGTCGGCGGTGGAGCGCACGAAACTGCCCGCCTGGGTCTGCAGCCTCACCACCAAGAACCAGCCGCCGTTGTCCACGAGCCGAGGGGAGCGGCGAGAGCGGGGCTGTGCCCGCGCCGACACTTGCCTAATCATCGGTATCTGATCAGACGAGCGTCAGGAAATAAAGCGGGCAAGCGTTGGGTGGTGTCGGCGCGGCAAGGGGTAGCAGAAATCTCAGCTTGCTTGCTACAGGACAGCAGTATTCAGGTGTTCGTGCACAGCGACAGAAGGTGTGTGTGTCAGAATGAAACGGTATGGATATTTTCCCAAACATCCCCATTACACCTGCGTAGCCGTGCTACACCGTCTGACTCGACAAGACTTGAGCGCAAACAGGAGTAAGCAAATAGCCCGTCCCTACGTAAAAACGTGCACCAGCAAAGCAGGCGAACCGCACACGCAAATTTTGATAAAACAAAAAAAAAAACACGACGAAGTCGCTTCCACAGGACAGGACAGAACGAACCTTGCGGTAGACCTGGTCGAAGTGGTGCACGTACCGCACCTTCGACCCTTCCAGCTGCTTGAACCCGAGGTCTTCGTAGTACCTGACCAAATGGTTGTACTTGCCCATGTCTTCTTCGGCCTCCAGGCGCACCTCGGTCACCGAAAGGTTTCCCAAGGTGGCGAACACCTTTGGAGGAATGTATTTTTGGTCCCGAGCGGAAGTTATTCAAGTGTTTTCGTTCGTTGCCCGAACAAAGAGGGGGAAGAGAAGGGGGAATCACGTCAAGCTAGCAACACGAACGACATGTCTTCGTGTTCTCGTCGTTGCTGTGGCTGTTCTTGGTCAGTAGGAGCGGAAACGCGTCCAATGGGTCATGCGTCAAGACTTCATCCAGCCAATGGGGCACAGTCACTCCAGGTCTCCAGGACAATACAATTCCGTGGGGTCTAGACCTCCTACTAGAGTCTAGAGGACGTCACTCACCGCGGCTAGGTCTCTCGGGGGTCTGCGGTGTTGTGGGGGCAAGGTAGACGGACTTTGCTTCTCATTATTTCTCTCCATGCCTTCGCCGCCCCAACCCGAACCCTGTACTGAACCAAAACATCCATCCCGAGCAGGAGCCACTTGAAGCTCCTCATCCGCGTTCTCGGAGGAGGATACCCTCCCTGACAAGGGCTCAGTACCCCGTCGCCCCCCCTTCCCCGCCTCCCGTTCCTTTCCCTTCCTTTCCCTCTCTATATGTTGGCTACAGGTGGTCAATATGCCGTGCGGGGTACCGAGCCGGGCATGCAGGTGGAGTAGCGGCTACGGTTTAAGAGAAAATGCTTAAGAAAAAGTCCCGGTTGAAGAGAGTCGACCTGGCTTGTCACGACCGGAATCGATTTAAGAGAAATATTGCTATATTTCTGGGATTTTCTCTGTAACCGAACCTCTAAAAAGAGCCACGTAGCCGTCACACACACAACTTGCAGACGACACGCCCTAAGCAGCAGGAAAACGCTGCACAGCGGTCCCCGATCACACCCTAGGCCCACCAAATTTCACAAACCACCGTTCGTTGAGCGAAAAAACGAACGTGCAACAAAATGTGTTATCACACGACATCATTCATTGTACATTTCCGGCACAGGTATCAGGAATGTACCCAGTGCTTGCGGTGGGTACACTGCTCACCAAGCGAGCACCAAGAAACATAATTTTTTGGCAGCGCGTGGAGCTAGCCCAAGATGCAATAAAAACTGGCGTGATGTAACATGATGAGTTATATGCCCTCCAAAAAATCATTTAGCTGGTTGAAACGGGAGCGTCCATATTCCATGGCCTTTAAACGCTACGGTTGAAGATAATATTCTCCTAAAACACGAACACGGTTCAAGAGAATATTTTGTTTAACCGTAGTCAACACGGTATGAGATAAAGCACGATTAAAGAGGAAAAAAGGGGATAGTCACCATCCTCTCTTCAACCGTAGCCGCTACTGTAGCGTTGTTCACCCTCGTTGTCCGCGAAATGCTGAGCTCCAGTTGACGCTGAAATATAGCGTCGACTTTTGGCGCGGGGACCACGCACCGAAGCATGACATGGAAGATTGTACACCCGAGGGCTCACGGTCCAACTATTTCTTCGGGACGACTTTCCTTTGTATTTTTGACGAGACGCTTTCGCTCGTACTTGACTGCTGCGCAACTGCCGACTCCAAGGGACGCCGTGATCAGCAACACACGAAAGGTGGGGGGGTTCAGCCGGNNGCGCCCGGGCCCCCCCCCCCCCCCCCCCCCCTATGCATACGAAAAAAAAAGCCTTAAAGCAGTTTCGCCCACAACGTGACAACGCATGACGTAGCCAAAGGACCATTGACCTCGCATCCCAGAAAGGCCTACAACCCTGTCTAAAGATGTAAACAATGTCGCCGTGGGAAACTCCCCGGGCGGGCAGGTGTATACCGTCGAGAAAATCGTGCGACAAGGGGCAGCGCGTCCACACGGTTGCCTTTAGTATGCGGGCAAAACAAGACCTTTGCGCGACTAAACCAAAATGCAGCGCGGTCATCGTGTCCGCGCACGGATTGGAGAGTTGGTCCGGGGGTGCGACGAAAAACCAAGCACGGGATGATTCAATCGCGCTCTCGAACGGGGATCGCCAAGCTTGCACAAGGTTGAGTTTGTCTCTTGCCTGACCCCGTTCGGCGCATCATCCACAAAAAAAGACGAGCGTTCTACAGCAAGAAACCCGTTCAACTGCAACAGCACACGCGGTACGTCGTGCATCACACTACACAGCCAGCACAACGGGCAATGCGCATGCTGCCAAACGTCCCACACTCTCCCCGTGGTACGGGAAGAGGCTGTTGCTCGTCCCCCCACGGGGGCCGGGTGGAACAAGCGGAGAGTGCGCATCGCGCCTTGCCCTCTAAAGCATACATCGCCGCACTGCAAAACAACCAACTTCCCTCGACATGTATGCGTTGTCGCATTCTTGCCTCTGCGCGCGCGTCGGTCGAGAACTCGCCACTCCTCAGTGGACTGCAAGTCCAGCATCATTCTTACCACCCCACCCAGGCTATCTGTGAAGCACCAGAAAATAAATTCAGTCATACGCAGCTGTCATCCGTATGCAAGGAAGTACGCACAAGATGCCGAACACCCTTAGCAGAATGCAGCGCACCCTTCATGCGACTCGCCGAATACCTCACGGAGCTTCGCGCTTGGTGATGTGAGAGCCTGGTCCGGTGAGAACCCGGCGTGCTCCGTCCCGGCTTTGTAGGGATGCGAGGTCAATGGTCTAACGACTACGGCATGCACGACTATTGAGCACACCCAGGCTATCAATGAACCAGTGCCACCGACACACGACTTTGGTGGTCGCATTCAACGTCGAAAGCAAGCCGTGTTACGATTGCTACGTCCCCGTTGGAGTCCCTCTCATCTTGATTGGCCGGGGACCCAGGACTTTTCGACCCTACGAAAGGATCAGAATGGAGACTGGTTCGCGATCTCTTTATTCGCCACCCACTCGCACGCTCATTGTCTGCGTCTTTCCTAGCACCCCAATAGAGGTCTCAGGGTGGTCCACCTAAAACCTACGATTTCGTGTACCTCACCAAACCTTCCACTAGCATCCCCGGAGCTTTGCGGTCCGGATGGTTCGCGAAGTTACATCTTGGTCACGACCCCTCCCCTCCACCCCAAGGGGCAGGGCGTACAATGTGGCACATCCGCGTGTGTGTCTGTGTTGGCATGTGTGCGTGTGGCACCGCGTTTGCGTTCTCCGTTGTCTCTTCATGCGCGAAGGGGTAGAATCTCGTTGGCTACAGTAGCGCGCGGGAAACATCAGCATTCCCTGTCTCCGTGCTCTTCGTCTGGACATCCCCTCGCTCAGGAAATCTGCCGGCGTGTGTTCCTTTTCAAGGATCAATGGCCATGCGTGCGTCCTTCTCTTTTGACAGTTTGAGCGCTAGCGGCCGTGTGCGATATGAGACTAGACACACTTCCTGCTCATATACGGAAAAGCTGCCGTGTTTCTGCCAAGCTTGGGGAATCAAAGCTTGACTACTTCCGAGAACCTCGCCGGGCGTGTGCAACCTCGCTCTCTCTGTCTCTCCCTCTCCCGATAGCGGCTGGTGCGGTTGACTCACACGTACCTGCTGCTTGTATGTACCCAAGCGACTGCTGTGCAACGTGTGGTGGCCTGTTGTGAGATCGTGGTAGATATGAGTGGTGACGGGAGAGAGTCACGAGAATGTTTGGTGCGTGTGCGGGTGTGCGGGTGTGCGCGCGTATGGTATATGGTCCGTTGTAAGCAGTAGCAATCTTGCTTCCAAATTCCCAAATTTCCAAAAACTGTTCCTCGGCCGCAAATCGAGGCGCGATGGTCTACGGATTTGGAAATTTGGAAGAAAAAAATCGGGACGTTCAAACGCCAGTAAGGTTGTCATTTGGGTTGTTGCCTACGGCCTCGTTTCTCCGATGGTGGCCTCTCCGACATGGTTTTGTCCTGGGGGCTTCTGTTCGCTATGTAATCAAAACCCTAGGTCTTGGAGTCACGAGCGGACACGTGTAACTCGCGCCGCATCATATTTCCGAGTTTTGTTTGCGTGTGCCTCCTCTCGCTTTCTTTCCCTTTCGGCACGAGCAGATGCCATGCAATACACGCGCCCTGTGTATGACCTATTTCGCGTTGTCGCGACTCACCTCCTTGAACAGCAGCGGTCCCAGACCGATCCCCCGAAAGTCTTGGTCTACCTTCACAGACTTGACATGACCATAGGTGTGGTTGCTCTCCCCGCGCCACTCCTGCTTCAGGGAGAAGAGGATCTGCGCGACGGACACTCGGCGACCTCCCTGAAAAACAGCAAGCCTGAGCTCACATGAATAAAAAAAGCAAGGACAGGGAGCGAGGTGTGTGTGAGAGGGGCGGGGTAGTCTCGTTTTAAGTTTGTCGGTCGGATGGTCGTATCGGCGCCCGATGGACGTGCAGCCTGCGCCCCAAAGACACACGTCTGGCGACAGTGTCAGCAGTAACGGAAACACGGATTCATAGCAGTGTGTGTGCGCCATCCAACGAAGGCGCGACACAAAGCACCGAGAAATTCGTGGCCGTGAAACCGCCGGATTGATTGCGTCGAAATGGAGGAGATGCCTCAAAAATTGGTCACGCTGAAACTACGGAGCACCATGTGCCCGTGCCAGGACGGCGTGTGGAGTGGCCGGTGAGATGAGCACAGACGTGACAGACGTGGTAAAAAACAACCTGCAACATGTGGTATGCATTGCACCTGGAAGTTCGCCCGTGTGTTCCTGTCTGCCTAGCACCAAATCGTGTTCAACCCCGTAAAGTTTACTCGTAACCCCACTACAACTACCCTAGGTTGCAAGTCGACGCATCCCTGTGCGATGACTACGGGGCCCATGCGGAAATCGAACTTAATCATTCAGCCATTCTTATTTTTTTGAACGCACGGGTGCAATGACTCCGGACTGCTGTGCGATAACTCCGGACCGTGCGATGGCTCGCAAACTTACGACACATACCGACGCGACGTCGGTATCAACCATGCCTACTGAGGCGCTCTGGAAGTAGTAGGAAGGGCATGTATATATCAACCAGGATTCGGGTGTTCCTGCGGTCAACAACGGTCACGACTTGGGCGGAACCTAAAAGAACAACAATGTGTTTAGAGATTGTAGCTTGGATGGGAACGAGGCGCGCCTTCCATATACAGGGGCCCAACAAAACATAATCAACTTATTTCGCGCGAAGCGCGAAAAAGAACGGGCGGAGATGGAGACGTAGGCGTAGAAAGATATGGATGGAGCCTTACAGCGACGGCACCACTGCTACTGCACACGCTCACACCTCACCGAACCCCACACCAGTCAGCCGTCTACGCAAGACTGCTGCTGTTTAGCAGCGCGGGGACGAGTGAAAGTGATGTGTGGTGTTGACGAAGCTCTGCTGCTGCTGCTGCTGCTGCTGCTGCTGCTGCTGCTGCTGCTGCTGCTGCTGCTGCCGCTTTGTGGATTTGCACCACCTCGCTTACGCTCGTAGGAGCGGCAACTGGCTCTAAAATCGCCCCCGACACCCCCTACGTGTGTATTTGGTCGCCCTTGGCTGGCAGCGTGTGTATACCTCGTTGTCTCTCTGTTTTCGGGTGCGTCTGTTGTGGATCAAACGAAGATCGGCCTTGCAGATAGACCGACCGGCGAAGATAGCCGCAGATTGATTGAATTGTGCGCACGTGCTTCACTCGCTTGTACGCTGCTAGCAGCAGGCAACGGGCTTCAAAAATCGCTCTCGACGCCTTGTATGATGTGATCCTTTGGCCGGTGGCCTGCCGCAGTTTGGACGTCTTATTGTCTCTGTTTTACGGATGCATCTGTGTAGCAAGCTCAAAAGATTGGCCTGCAGATAGATGATAGCAGCATGCAGCAGCAGCAGCAGCAGCAGCAGCAGATTCGACCTGTGTCGCCTTCCTGGCTTGTGGTGCTGCCGACAGCAGCCAACCGGCTCTGAAATCGAACCCGGCCTCCTATTTTGTGTGCCTTTGGCTGCCCTTGGTCCACAGCATTCTCGTGTGCTGCTGTGCTAGTTGTCTCGTGTGTTGTCTACGTGTGCCATGTGCTGCTGCTGCGCTACGTCTTTCGGGGGATTCCCGTTCGGCAGCGTGGCTATCAACCAATCATCTGTCTCGGTCCTACATAATGTCCTACATAATCGACATGTGATTTGTGGGAGGACGCGGTTCTACCCCTCTAAAACATGGAAGTAGATGTTTTTATTACTAGTTCTTCCGGTCCAACATAAAAAGTGCCAAACATATGGGTGCTCTGCCGGGAACGAAATTCTGAATCACGGTGGTACGCCGCAGACGTCCACTACAGCACTGTTCACTTGGAGAACTGTAGCGTAGTTCTCCCGTACTTCGAAGTACAAACATGAAAATTCCAACTACCCATTGACCTGTTCAAACGTGACGATGCAAGCTTCAACAATGTCGTAGGGTTTTCCCCAACCGAGCACTGAGGGCAAACCCGCACGCCTCTTGTTCAGCTGGCGTCACTGAAGTACAGTCAGGACTCCTTCAGTACATCAGTATTCCATATGATGCACGAAGGGAGTTGTTCTGATTGCTGCAACCGTATCCGACACAAGATAACGCCCCCTGGACCGATTTTCAAAGCCCGAACTCGCCACGACGAAGAGGATGCATAAACGAAACGATCCATTTTCGGAAAGCTCTCGACGAGACGGCTTCAACGCCATCATTTTCGGCGCTGTGACTTATTAATAGCTGTTTGAGAAATCAAGTTTTCGTCCAGGGGGTTGTTGTTGTTGTTGTTTCTCACATTAGCTCTAAAGTCCACAAATAATAGGGAGCCCGTGGTCTCAAAACCCGGCACATATGACGCCGCAGGGAAACAACCCCCGTACCCATGTACGCACAACCTCTCATTCCTCCCTTGTCAAACACAAATGATGTAACATGGATGAAGTGATGAACTCTGTCTAGACTATATTTACAAGTATGGTCCACGCTGCCTACAAATGGGAGAGGTAGCCATACCTCCTACCTACACACGGACGAGAGAGGTGAACACACCCACTGCATTTAACACACACCCACATGTCGGTTATGAAACCTCATCAACCACACGCCTCTATCGGCGACCACGTCGTCAGGAGGCAATGATGAGAAATGTTCTCCCGTGCCCTTCTCACATTTAACGACATGAAATTCCACAACATAACATATATCAGACACACAAGACAGCTACCAAACTGATCTTTTGAGCCTGTCACCCGAGAGTTGTCCCTATATGCTGTCTAGGAAATCGTAGACATAAAGATAGTTTTCTCTGACCCTATGATTCCATTGTTAATCTGTCTCTGACTCTTTTCTATGATAGAGATGGCACATCAGCCGCACATACTCCGTACATTTGCATACCAAACTGAGAATATGTTTGTAAACTGATGGAGATTGCATGTGTTAGAACTAATGGGGTGCGACACACAAAACGCCCGACTACCCAACAGCAGTACCCAACACCTTTCGTCTGCACCTTCCCAACATAACATATATGAGACACACAAGACAGCTACCAAACTGATTTGTTGAGCCTGTTACCCACAGGGGAGATGTCCCTATATGCTGTCTGGGAAATCGTAGACTATTAATTTTATAGCTTTATGGTCCATCCTATAATTTTTATTCTTATTACAAGTCTTGGAGCCGTTTTAGGAATTAAAGTTACAAGTACGCAAAACACACCCTNGTTACCCACAGGGGAGATGTCCCTATATGCTGTCTGGGAAATCGTAGACTATTAATTTTATAGCTTTATGGTCCATCCTATAATTTTTATTCTTATTACAAGTCTTGGAGCCGTTTTAGGAATTAAAGTTACAAGTACGCAAAACACACCCTGGCAGTTTTCTCTGACGCTATGATTCCATTGTTAATCTGTCTCTGACTCTTTTCTACGATAGAGATGGACTCGTTGTGTCATATTAAGAAAAAGAAAAAAAAGCGTACAAACCACTCGGAACAAGAAAACAAAACAAAAAAAAAGGAAGGGTACCGCACCGAACGTTCGAGAAACGAGCCCTCCGAAACCGATCACAATCTTGTGTTGTACACGGTAATCTGGTTGAAGTGGAAGTTGATTGCTAATTCATTTGTACCACACCAACAGCACGCGTCTTCGACATACCTAACGTCTCCCGTTGGTCTATCCCGGTATTCCTTCACCGACAGCAGGGGCCCATCGAACAGTTGCCGCGGCGATAACGTCTCGACGTCATCGCTGTCGCTGTGCTCTCTCTCGTATGCATAGCTCGGAGCTGCTAGGGTCGCATTTTCGGACCGCCCTGTCGGTTTGTTCGTCGTTGACGACGACGTGCCTCCTCTGCTTCCGTCGATGCCCTTGTTTCTCTCTCCGGCACGCCACTGCCACGGGCTTCCGCCTCCCAGATCTCTCCCATTGAGCAGTGATTGATCATGATTCTCGTGGTGCTGATGCTGGTGCTGGTGCTGGTGCTGACGGTCGAGGCGAAGACGTTTCTTTCCGTGCACCAGCGGCATCGGCGTGACTTCGTGTGATTGTTTTGTTGTCACCACCTTTTTCTACACCTCTGTCCTGCTATGTTCCGAGGATGGCGACGACTAGAAAACATGCATCGCCGCAGAAGGAGGTGTCGCAATCATCTCCCTGTGTCCCTGTGCCGTCGCTGAGTGACAATCAAGTGCAACAAGCTGTACCTGCGTTTGTCACGTCACCAGGACGGGGGTGACGCGGGTGGAAGGGTAGGGGGATACATACTTGGGACTGTGGGAGAATGAATGATTTTCAAAATCTCCGCAAGTGCGGTGTGCGTGTTGCGGCAGCAGCAGGCCCGCGAGTGCATGCTTGCACATCGAACGAAGCAACTACGTGCTAGGGTGCACAAATATTCCCGTGTTGATACAGCCCTGGGAAAGTGACCTCCTCGTAAAGGCCCACCCGTGCGCTAGCGGCGGCTACGAAGGTGTGTGTGTTGACCGGGTATGTTTGTTTTTTTTTTGTTTTTCTCCCATCATTGGACTCTGTCGTCTGCCCCTCTGGCCCCTATCCTCCACTTCTACTAGCTAGACGACCCAACCGGGGTCACATAGGAGGGGGGGGTTGGACCCCCTCCTGCGGTTCATGCCTGAGGTATTTTTATCGCGAGAAGGGTACAGCAATCCCTTCCCTCGCGACTTACGAAGTCGATTATGGTTTACTAACAAACGAGCTTTGCAGCGCGTCGCTTTCATCCTAGACCAGGATTTATTTGGTGAGAAAAAACTCTCTCTGTCGGGACTCGAACCCATGACCTGGCCCTTAGCAGGCTGCGAGGCTACCCACTAGACCACCGGGGCGACCGGTATGTATTGTAGGTCTGCCCTTCGGGATTCAAATCCGCCGCTTTTACACGTTCCATCTTTCGGCCTCGTTTACAGCCGAGTGTCTCTTCTGTGTGTTTTCCCTGCCAGGCCCTGCTGCCAATGTCAATGTAGCCACCGTTTTCCCTGGATGTTGCCCGTTTCTTCTCTGACAGCCTTGGCTCAAAGCAGCTGCTGTGTACAAAAACCAAAGTTTTTAGGTTTACAGAGGTGCGCCGGGGAGCTCGTGGGCTGTTTGCTTGGTGATGTCACGACTGGCAGCTGGCGGCCAGCTTCGGGCTGGCCTTGCTTTGGTTTTCGTCTTGCATTACCCCTTGATGACACTGTGCTCTCAGGAACCCACTCCAGGAGGGATCCCTTGCAGTCCTTCTATATTGCAGCCAGGAGTTCTGAGTACGGCGGGGTCCCCCTACCTTAGTGACCGAGTACGATGAAGATACATGCCCCCCTGCCTGGACCGAAAACAAAGATCGATTTCTCCACATCGGGAAGAGAGGCGGCGCGGAAAACGGCGACGTTCGATCTGCCCCTTGGAGAGCTTTCCGAAAACATATCGCTTGAATTATTCGTCCTCTTCCTCCTGGAGAAATCGAACGTTGAAAATCGGTCCAGGGGGTGTGGTATCTTGTGTCACCTCCGTTGAGGGTGGTCAAAGATCGCTTGTCTACTTGTCACAGTCGTTGGTCCCTGGATAGTGCGGACCGTTGTAGCCGTGCGTTGATCTGCTGTTGGCTACAGCAGTCATGAAGCCTCTGTCTCTGGCGGCGGCGTGTTGCTGTTTCTACTATTTGTTACTGCGTTCCCTCTTCACCTCGCTGCCTGCCACCTCGCCGCGGCACCGCCCGTCCTCACGCCTCACTCATCCCTAGACTGCTGGCTAGACTCTGAATTCCCCGTGCTTGACGGAGCAAACCTCAGTATTTTCCTTCGTTGTCGGCCAAGTGACTATGCCCAGCAGTGGTACACCAACGCAACTGCCACAATAAACCGAATACAACGATCGTATTCGCTGCACTGCCCCTCACAGCTAAAAGGGCGTAAGCGGTGGTATTCGACAGCAGTACCGACCGACCCGCCATTCAGGAGCACGAATGCATTATGCTCAGGTGTTTGTACGCAAGTTTTTGCCGTGTCTGTCTCAGCAGATGCAGGACAGCCTTGGAATTTCGTTTTTTGACACCTTTGTTGTCTTTTTCTGCGTTCACCTCAAACGCCAGCACCACCATCCACAAGGTCGACTACAGCAGTCAGGACCGACAGCAACAGCTATTATAGGGGCGCAGCAACTCGGCCATTCTCCGGTTCGACCACAACCAACGAAGAATTGACGACGACGATGGCAAAGATAACGACGACCACAAGGACGGGGGTAGAGTACTCTGGCGACGTGGGGGCTTGCGACTTCGAGGCAACGGCGGAGGGTGACGGGGTGACCGGCCTCGCTGCAGGGGCACCAGTGAGGACAGTAACGCCACCAGCGGCGGTGACGGCAGCGTCAGCTGCAGCAGGGGGGAAAGCTGAAGTAGAACTTGCACTAGAGGGGAACCTTGCAGCAGAACGAAAGAGGACGGAGAAAACGGACACTATGAACACAATAGGCAACACAAGAGCGTCGAAGGTCATTGCGCGGCTAGCGACGCAAAAACCCGTGACCCCCCCGGGTGCGGTGGCAATGGCGGCGGCAGCGGCGGCAAAGCTTCAGCTGAAGGCAAGAGGGTCACCCACTTCTTCTCGCCGCTCCACCTCGGCTTCTTTGTTCTCCACTTACCGTTCGCTCCTCGCCATGCCTGCACTGGATGCACTCAATAGGCGGGTGGAGAGTAATGCTTCCCCGGGAGGGGATGCCGGGGTGTTTCCTGCCGCAAGTACGGCCGCCAGCAACGCCGGGGGCGGGGTCAGCAGCTTCGGCCGCTCGAGGAAAAACGCCAACAGCGGCATCAGTGAGGAGGGCTGGGCTAACAATTCGGGGGGATTTGGGGGCGGCGGCGGGGAGGGCAACGGAGACAGTAGCGGCCATCAAAGAGGGGGGGAGTCGGGGGGCGCGGGGGGGATACTTCGGACTAGCGATTCTGCGACGCAGTGGAAAAGCTTTGACTCGGCAACGAGCGAGGTGTCGTTGCGTAAGGTGAATGAACGAAGTTTTTAACAAGGAGAGGTGAAGGGCAGGGCAAAGGGAGACGTTCTCGTTTGGTGCGCTCTCGAGAACGCATGTTGCCGTTGAGCCCATGGCAGCGCAGGAGCATGACCCATGTGCATGCATCACATACGCCAAATTTATGTAGCTGCATTTTTTTTTTTTTCCTGGAGCAGTCTTGACATTCCCTGCCGTATGCATTCAGCAGTGATCGCTTGTGACGGTACTACTGTGACTCTTTTCTACTAACAGGCCACTGCTTTCTTCACACAACCCCCCCTTCCCCTCATCTCCGCCCACCATTTTATTCCACTCTACCACTTTTCCTATCTCCACCACGGACTCCCCGCATGTTGCTCTTTCTGCCCCCTACTTTCGCTGGGTGGTCTCTTGCTGTATTTCGTTATCGCGAGAGAGCAGGGGAATACGAGTGACGAGCCAGGACGACGACCAACGGCCGAAGTGGCCTCGATGGAGTCGCCGCAGAGCATGCTTCTGACGTCCGAGGAAAACAACATCATGCGTTTGCCCAACTACAGTTCGTTCATGCGCCAGCAGGTAGGTTGTTTGGCGGCACACATGGTAACTAGAAGGATGGCAGAGTTGCTAACAAGGCCAGATTTTTCGCCCTCACCAGTATCGCTGTGATGTCACAACCCTAGATGCCCCCTATTTTTATTTCGATGTAGCATGAAGCCCTGCTTGGTAAGAATTTCTGATTCGCCCAGCGCGCTCTCGAACGGTGCAAGTTTGTGTATTCCCTACAACAAGAGCAGGCTAAGTTCAAAAGAAAGACATGCACAAGATCAACGAGAGAAAGAGACCGTCTGCCTGGGCACACAACACGCGAGACACTAAACGAAGCCAGCAAGCATAGCGGCTGTGGGCAGCCGCCGGTTGTTCACCCGCAAACTTTGGAGTACGACGAGTTGGGAGAGGTCAATGGGTTGTGGCAAGAAAGGAGTCGCTGGATGCGGAAGAAGCTTGTTCGGTTTGAGAGTGCATACGCGATTGGTCGAAAGCGTACGGCACCGCGCGGTGGGAGCTGTGGACAAACGCAACATGTTCATCGTATTGGTGGTCGCCATGAGTTCGTTCTCACGTCGAAGCGTCAGACGGTTGCGTATTTTTCACCAACGGAACAGCAGGGCGACCGGGGTTATTATCAACAAAAATACTGCTCTTGTACATCAATAGTAGTCAAAAACATTTCATATCCTCCCAGGCAGAGCGAGGAAACTCCGCAATTCATTCTGGATCCGAGTCAATCGTTCGTCTCCGACACGAGCCTGATTCTCATCAACTGAGGATCGCCCAAGGCAGCCAACAATACATGAAGCGGTGTGTGGGCTAATACATCCTTGCAGCTGTCCACCCACAGTTTCAGCAGATGGCTTGAAGCACGTGCATGTCGATGTGCCTGCCTGTGTGTGGTGTGTGTGCCGAAACAGGAAAGCCTTCAGGCTCTGCTGGTGGATATTCACCAGGACCCGGACGGCTTCACGGATTTTGTTGAGGTGGGCAACATTGGTTCGACCCCGTTGACCGCCTTCCTTCCTCCTCATGCCTCAGGACTCGTGGTCGGCAGCGCTCAGAACCCTCGTGTTTGAGCGAGAAACAAGGGGGGAAAAGACTCCGGATTCGGCCGCCTGTCGGCGTCGGCAACGTAAAGAGATGTTTCAAGGATGTCGCTATTTGATGCTTATTGGAAGATTGAATTTGGATATCAAGAGGTTTGGTTTCCAGCGACGCTCCTTGGTCATCCTATCGCTTGGAACTTTCATGCATGCTTTTCCTGACGATGGTGTTGTTACAAATCGAGAATGAGAATGATATATATTCCTGAGTTTGGCAGCATTTTTCCACACACCGAACTCAGTCAGATGCTTAGCCCCAACTATCTTGTGGGTGGAAGACATGTTTCCGGAGAATGATGTCTATGACAGCACAGACAGCAGAACAGCAGCAGAGTTAGGCAGTGCGGGTTGGCCACTGAATTGATTTGGAACTGAAACAAGATTCAGAACTCCGTTGCCACAAGACTCACCAGCTGTCGTAAAGAGTTCAGAACACGCATTGCTGGGAGGCCTTTCAGGATAAACATACCCTGCATTTGTGCGCGTGCGTTCGTGACCGGTACTTCGTGTGATGAACTCCATTCTGACTGCGGTCCGTGACACAGCGGTCATGTTGATTCCTGACTCCTTTTTCCCTACGATGTCTAATGAGAACGTCTGCCCTGACTTTCAAGCTGTGTAGTGTGAGCCTTCCGCTCGTATTGCAGCGCAGTTCACTCCATACGCTACCATGCAGTCCGCACGGTTGATCAAAAACACCAAGAGCTTTGAGACGGGTAGAGCTGGCGCGTGGGACCCTGCCGCCGTTGATTTCACGCTTGCTTGCATGGTCGGACATGTTCGTGTTCGTATGTACCCGTAGAGCGGCAGAGATGTTTTGGTCATGTCGACCGCTCAAAAGATCTAGAACTCAATTCTGGCACTAATTTTGCGTCTCGGAATTCAATAAACTCGGCATCGCTCTTGCGTCCAGGAAAAGCAGTCTCGGCGCGCGCAGCGCCCGCAAGCAAGTAGGTGGATTATGAACACGCTGCTCGGCACGGCTATCACAAATGGAAAAACTATTCCAAACCGCGTTTTCAAACTGAAATGTCATAGGACACCGGCGTAATCTCAGTTTGGGTGGGAATCACTGGTTGGTTTGTCGGATGTACCCAACTCGATGTGTTGGCGATCAAGCTATGGCTGCCCTGTTTGCATGTGGCGAAAACCCGGGGCAATCAATGCGTCTTGCTCTACTCTTTGGGCGTTTACATACACCAAAGGGCACAGCAGTAGCTTCAATACAACGCTTTTTGACGGAATTCGAAAGTACCGTAAGAGTTGGAGCGATGGTACCGGGTGCGATTGATTTTTTAACGTTTTGTTCGTATTTATTGTCGCACCCCGGTGCGATCTCCCCGACCCCGGTGCGAAAATGCAAGTGAATCATCTCCTTTATCTCTTTCAAGGCACTCCGGTGCGATCTCTCCGGCCGGTGCGATGCCCAATGAAATACACACAGCGGTCTTGCTAGTGCTACGGCTACGACGGTGTTGTTTGCACGCGCACCCCGGTGGCATCTCGCCGACCAACGCTGTCTCTACGCCTCTGAGTATTGGTACCGATGAAGGTATTCACAAGCAGACGATGTGCGGCGTACGGTCTATCGTGGGCTGATACGTAGCAGCTTTCGATGCAGCGAGTGGTCATGGGTTTGAATGCGAGTTTGCCTATTGGGTGACAAGGACAACCAACGACGTGGTTTCCATCTGGGGTACCGGTACATGCGGTATCAGGTTGTCTCCCGCTTTCGTTTCGGTATTCCTCTACGAATACCACTACGCAAGTAGCTGCAAATAAGATCGTCTTGCCTACGGTGGAGATAGGTCACGGCTTGTACGCTGCGTACTTGGGTGGTGTACGGTTTGCAACTACCATACCGATTAATTGGAAACAAATCCGCCGCGTCGACCGTACATGCATACACGAAGGTGGCGCTCCGCTGACACCCCCTCCACGCGAAATAGGGCGCGTATGTACACTTGTTTTACGGCAGCTCAGAAAGAGCTCAATCTTGGGTTTGAGGAAGACCCCGATGCGAAGATGCAATTCAAACCATGCCGGTCTTGCTCTTTTTTCGCACCCCTGCACCGTCTTCCCGACCGGTGTCGTCCCTCCGCCCGGTGCCATGTCTCCGGCTCTTCCGGTATTTAATTTCGTAGCTAACCTGTCTTTTTGGTTCGGCTTCTTTCTGTCTGAAACCATTTTTTTCTCCGGCAAACAGGCTCGGAGAAGCGAAATCAACCCGGTAGGGGAGGCAAGCGTTTCGAACGTCACGTCGGCGCTGGAGAGCTTGTCCGACTACACGAACCTTACGCAGATCGGAAGTGGTCGATTTTCCGTGGTTTTTTACGCCGAATCGAAGGTGGGTGCGAGGCACATAGGAGAGAGAGAGGG